GCGAAATAAAGTGTTTTATATACAAGGTGTCTCAAAAACGACTCGACTTAAAAACAGCCTTAAAAATGGACTTCCCTATCTGTAGAAGAGTAAAAAAATCTTCACGTTTATTTAAAAATCATTACAAATTATATATTTTATATTATGTATTTTGTAAAATTGAATGAATTTAATAAATTAAATAATAAATTATTAATATTAATTTTTTTAATAAATTATTTTAATTAAAATTTTAATTAAAATTATCTTTAATAAATTATTTATATTAATTTTTAAATATTTATAATAATTCGTAATTTTTGGATTGTATTTTATATTTAATTTTTAGATTATATTCAATTATTCACGTTAATTATGAAAATGTAATTAGTCTTACTTACGAGATAATAATTTTTCGATCACTCTATACGTATCTCGTATAAAAATAATGAGATCTACGTGAATTTATCGCTTAAATCCACCCATCGGAGATATTTATCGATTCTGCAATCTAGTGCTTGTTTTTGATCGCACATGTTATTTATGCAAGTTCAGGGCTTCCTTTTGGACTTCGAAGGAATTTTGACGTCATTGTACTCCAACATTAGTCACAAGAAACCGGTCACGCGAATGAGGGAAACAATGAACGACCTTTCGAAGTTGCGTTTTTTATCTTATTTCGATCCCTTAAAGTCATTCCTTTTAACTACTCATCTACTATCTTTTGTATACAACAATTTTAAATTTCGATTTTCACAATAAAATTTGCTCATCAATTCGAACAAAGCAAGCATATCACAATTCGTCATAAGTTCTTCAATTACTTTTACAGAAATTTCACAGAAAAAAGCCTTAATTGAGAAGCCTACGACTTCTGAATAACTTCGTTGATTCCAAGTATTTCAAATGAAAGACACAGTTTAGATAATCGATAATTATGTATAATTACATTTTAGTTAAAGTATTCCCGGGTGATACGCCGTTCGGGACGATATGGAATTAAAGGGTGTAATTACGCGGGACGTTTACTTCTCAATTATTGGCGTCGAGATTGTAAAAGAAAAGTGAAAATAATTGGGCGTAATCGCGAGTGAGGCGTGCGTTTTACCTCGATAGTAATAACATCGTTCGAAGAAGTTATCGCATCGGGTAATTGTGCCAAGCGCTTGTAACCCCTCGGGGAGCTCTATCATTCAGCGCTAAGTTATGAAAAAGCAGCATGTAAAAGCAGCAGCAGAGACCACCTACATCAGACACGTTCCTCAAACGCGCGTGCACTTCAACCTGCTGCCGATACGCCCGAAATGAATTCGAATGAGCATTACGGTATCAGCGCGCGATGCCTGCATTTTTAACGTCGCCCTCGGATGGTTCCTGCCTTAATACGCGACGTTTCCCAAACCTGTTTTTCGAGTCCCATTGCGCAAACGAAACGCGTGCAGCGCACGCGGAACAAAGCCTTAATTTAATTCGGAGGCTTAACCACAGAAATCCGGAATCGGCTCGCGAGCAAATATAAAGACGTCAAAAATTTCTTTTAAACGCACATCCTCTCCTCACCAAAGCGAGGTAGTTCCTTGACGAACATAGGACATATTTTTGCCAGAAAATAATTTGAAGTTGGAAAAAAATAATATTAATGCTGATATAATTTTAATATTATTAAAAAATATATCAGACATGTCTTATTTGTAACAGTAATAAATTAATATTTCTATTGTAAGTGACAGTATTAAAATTCATCTGTTACAAACGGCAAGAAGCAATTTTCAACGTTCCCCAGGCAAAGTCTAGCGCGTTCGCCAGAGAGATTTGCCTCCGCGCAGCCATAAAATCATTTTGCTTCTAGAAGGTTTAAATTTATTTGCTCCCTGCTGCGCCGTACGCATCGAAAACTTATGCCTCAGCGAGATATCTTCGAAGATATCGAAACACCTCGCGACTTTGTCATTTGTAATATTAAATATCTGATAGTCCTCCAAACATCAATTTAAATTTTCTTGAATAAACTTTATCAATCTATCTATCATTTCTATCAAATTGCTGTTATATATTTTTTAAATATTTTTCAATTAAATAGAGATAAGAATTTGAATAATTTTCTTTATTAATAAATAAATATCTTTGAAGGACAAACATTTTTTGGAATGTCAACATCTTAACAGGGAAAAATTTGAAGAAGCTGAGAATCTCTCGTACCGTTTTCATTATCGACACTCAAAAAGATTTACGCAAAGCCTCGACAAGATATTCGCATGCTCTCGGCAGAGATATCGCCTTCGTATTTGGACCTAAGTGGCATGCCATGTAAGCCACTTCAAATTTATTACGCGATTTGGCATTCGATTCAATATTGCGTACGGAAAACATTGTTAACTATCGTCAATATTCATTACGGTTGAAAATAATTTTTAGATTCATTAAATTCGAGCCTCAACATTCAATATTTACGATATTAAGAAAGAAAAATAAAATTGAACTCGATAGTCTCTTAAATATCGAATTAAATCTACTCACAATTGTAAATTAATATTATATTTAAATATATTAAGTTTGTAAAATAATTCGTTATCTTTTTTTTTATCAATGTCATTAAATTCAAAAAACATTAAAAATACGTAAAAGTCAAATTTATGAATCTTGCATGTTATGTCATAATTGAAGATTTATTTATTTTAATTTAAATATCAAACTCATTAAAAAGTGTTTACTCAAATTTATGTATTAAGAAGACAGATTTAACTATAACTGAAACAATGTAAGATGCAAGGCCACATAAAATTTATAACTCGTTTCATTTTGCAGTTTATGACTCATTTCTCATTCGTCGCACTTGCTGTGCATCTAGGGGTTAACTCTTTCCATTCTCCCTGAACCGATCTCGCGGTCCAGCAAGCGGAATTCCCGTCTCGTTTCTCTCTTCTGTCCGGCATTCCATCCTAGATCCCCCTATAGTTTCTCCGGCCGTGGTCTAAGGTCTAAGAAAGCCGCCGTTCGAGTTAAAACAACGACGAGAACTCAACTAGACGCAAACGATAAAGACGGCGGTAAAATCGGAGAAACGACCGCTTTGTCGAATGCGTGATGTAAATGTCAACTGCTGGATTAGGCGGAGGATTATCCTGGGTGTCATTCTCATGACACTTTCATTGGAAAATCATATATCTTTGTTCGCGAATGACTATTCATATCGACTATTAAATTCTTGTTAAAATTCCATCAATTTTTCATAAATTCTATTAATATTTAACTTACATGTATCATTAATAAATTGAATACATTAAAATTTGTATCAGCTTCAACATTTATAAATTAGTATATAACAAAAATACAAAATTAAAAATAAATTCAAACTAAAAAATGAAAAGGAATAAAATTTTTGTTACTAAGTGCATGAAAAATACAAAGTTCCAAGAAAAAGATAGATAATAAAAAAATATAAACCTTTTTCTCGAGATAATAGATTTAAAATTTTAAACTGTAAATTCTTAAATTAAAAATTAAATTAATATTCTGTTATATGCATATAAAATGTAAATTAAATAATATACGACTATCTGCGTCTAAATAATATTATTCTAATCATGGCACCTAAGATGATTAAAATTCCATCAAATCGGATTAAAATCCTACAAGACGAGCCTTTTTTCCCCGCCCGTCCCGAAAAAGTCCCGACATTATGCATGCGAGAAAGATACGCATGATTACGCGTGTCCTTAGATATCGCAGATCTCGCCGACGACACGTCACCCTGGGACACGTTGAAGAACGCAACGGCGAGGTCATCTCGCGAGTGACTCAAGATTACGACGCGATATTCGAAGGTAGAGGGTATCGAGAACTCGGCGGATTCCAGGATTACGTCGGCACAGGATCGTCATTTTGTTTCTCCTTTTTGGCCTTCGACCGGATTCTTCCTTATTGCCGGGACCGCCGAATCTCTTATCCGGGCGGATAATAAAAAGGACGATGAGCCCTCTCCGGAGGACGGGGCCTCCTACATACGACACGGCTCGTGTTTTCGCAGCCTCCAAACGCAGGATCCACTCGCCGAACACTTTCGGTAACGAGTGCGTAACGAGTCCTCTCGAGAGTGCGTCCACCTTTGCATACCAATGCCCGGTTCCTCCTCGTCCACCCCTTCCTCTCCCAAAAATATTTTCCTCACCTTCCTCAAGCAGGATATCATCTTGATAGAGGGTCTCGTAAACGGTCAAATCACCGATGTCATCACCGGCAAATAAAATTTGCAAACTTGTATTATAATTTCTTCTTATGTGTAAAATAAGCTATTAACGAATTGTTTTGGAAAATGATAATTAATTATTATTTTTTGTTGCGCTTATGAATTCATTGTTGCCTAAAAAAATTCTAAGAAGTAGAGTTTCATCACTAATACGCTATAAACTTGCGATTAAAAATAGTTTCTTTGATGGAATACATTAATCTTCCTTCGATAATTAAAGTCAACAAGGAGGAGCCCTGAAATTGTCGACAAGCCCCTTAATTTCCTCCCAACGTTTGTTCCTTTTTCTCTTTCAAGGAACACGACCAGTCAAGAAACATCAACAAATTACTGGATTATTTTTACCTGCGTCGAGTCTACCGCAACCACAATTTAACCAAAATGTTGGTTTTAAAATATTTTCTGAATCTTTCAAAGGTATATTCAATGCACACCCAACCCAAAAGGGGGTCCTTCAAGTCCTAAATTCATTCGGCAATAATATCCAACGCCTCAACCCCTGGAAGATTCGCGAGAAAAAAAGAGAGAGAAAGAAATAGCTCGGATAGGACGAATAATCACCGTGAGTGTGCATGCATCCTTCGGGTGCATCCTAAATCTCGTCCAATGAGGAGTTCTCGAAACCACGGATAAGAAGTGGAGGAGGGAGATTCGAGAAGAAGAGGAGGAGGACGAACGAATCGGTGCGAAAGCAACGGTCGCGAGCACTTCCTGCGCAACAAGAAGAGGGTCCTATGCGGCGCACCGCGTAATTGAGGTCCTGCGAACCCTACGGGGAGTGGCGGTGGGGGCCGCCCTATGTAAGGCCCTGGAAGCGACCAGGTTCAGCCCATCCAGCATCAGGACACCGCACGTCAGGATTCGTGCCACTCCAGGGATTGTCGGTGTCAATTGTCCGAGTCAGATCAGTCCGATCCGAAGAAGATTATTTCGAGAAGGCAGCCTTCAAGAAACGACCTTCATCCTGGCGAAGGACGCTGATACTTGACAACTATCGGTTGAGAAGAGAAAAACGAGGCGAAGAAAGACGGGGAATATACTAAAGGGAAGATGAGAGTGAACGTGACATTGGTTCTTGTGGTTTTTGCTCTAGGGTTCGTTGCAGCTAGAAGGAGAGTCAGATCTACGACGGCAACGTTAGCGACGACGAATCCGTCGGCATCGCCCGTAGGTAGACAGTTTTCCTTCGATGGACAACCTGAAGGTTAGTGTCGGAAGTTTCGAAGTTACGACTCTAAAGTTTTACAAAAAGTTTTCCTACTGATAGCCACAATAAGATAAGTAACGTTAAAAGAAATTATGCTTTATAAAAAGTTACAATAACATACTCATATTTAAACTGTAGAAAAACGCCAAAAATATAAAAATATTTAAACGATACTCTAATTTTGATTCTTCTTCTTCTTTTTTTATACAGTTTAAATTTGTTCTAAGTATGTTCTCCTATGTTAATCAAGTGTTTAATCGAAAAATTTCTTAATTTTTATACATGGTAAATTAACGTAGAAATAAATTGTATCATTAATTATTTTTTAAGTTTAAGTTCAAACGTAAGTAATTTGCTTTCTTAATTTTGCAAAACTTAAAATTAGTGCTGTTTTCATAGAATCATTCAAAGTAAAATTTCCACCATTATTATTCATCATTATTTACAAGTTTAATTGCTTTTATAATTTTTCCAGTATTTTCCAATCAACTGCAATTACATACTAATAAATATAATATTAAACCGTTGTTATTAACAAATGTCTCGCGAATCAAAGCAATTGTTAAATTTCAGAATTCGAAACCTCATGGAACCACTTCGACATCCAGAAATTAAAAGCAAAAGCTTGGGCGAAGAACGACACGGGAAACAGAATCACTCTCGGCAAGCAATATCCGGGACTTCCCAGCAATCCAGGCGACTCAAATGAACTTCCAAATCCCATTTCGCCACCGGTGCAACAACCACCACCGTACAAACCCCCGCCGGGCTGTCTAGGCAAGAGGGGTCAATATGCAAGCCCAACAAGTTGTGCCAGCTATCTTAATTGCTGGGATGACGTGGTGATTGAGCAGATTTGTCCGGCCGGACTGCTCTTTAACGACATCGCCGGTTATTGCGACTTTGAGTACAACGTTAAATGCGGTGATCGACAGCCCGCCACGCCGAGTGAGTGTGTGATCGATAATCATGTGGCGCGAATCGTCCGTTTACGCTTCGCGATGGTAATCGGATCGGCTAATTCGATTTCAGCTCAATCGTGATTTCATCAATCTGATAAATAAGCCTTCAAATGACATTCTTTGGAAAGAGTGATAGAAACTAAAGAGATGAAAAAAGTATCGATATCACTCTAAAACAATGATCAATAAACATATCAAATTGTTTGATATGAAAAATGTATAACAACATTACTGTCGCTTTCAATTTAAGATAAAAAAAGTTATTTTGTTTCTTTAGATTAATAATGATTTGAGATAAATAGTGGAAAAAGAAATAATTTTTTTTGTTGTTTGGCAGAACCACCATTGCCGGCAGGATCGAAGCTATGCCCGGATCCAAACGGACGTTATAGAAGTTCGACCAACTGTTCGGAATTCTTCGTATGTGCCACGGGCAAACCCATCAAATTCTCTTGTCCTCCCAGCTTGGTCTACAGTGACGTAAGGATTCATTCTAAAAAAAATGCGATACACGAACATTCGCGGAATTTTAAATCGTGAAATAACGTTAGCACACTTAATGTTGCTTAAAATAGATTTCGCAAAGGAATTTTTGCCCTTTATTTATTCTATCTCATCTATCTTTTTGCTGTAAAAAAATTGAAATAGAATTAAGATAAAATATTATTAGACAAAATCAGATTAAATCGGAAATAATTTATAACTATTTGAATATCATTCAAATATATATAGCAAATTAAAATTTTATTTCTTTAAAAAAAATAATAAAAATATAAAAAATACAAAAATTCTAAAGCTTTAAATTTTCTATATTTTATTTATGAATTTTTTTTTACATGTTCCTTGTTACCTTAATTTAAAAAAATTAATCTAAAAAGAATTATTAGAAAATATTTAAATATATTTCATCATTCACAAATTTAATTTAAATGTTTCATAGTAAATAATTTAAAAAATATTGAAAATTGATTAAATACGATCAATATTAGAACGTTGAAATATATTTTATGTTTATTCTATCATTTCTAAGATTTAATGTAAAATATATTTTATATATATCTTTATATAAATTCATTATTAATTTTAATTTATTAATCTTTCTTCATTAAGAAAAATTAGTTGCATTACATCCATATAGCTTCAATTACGATTTTGTTTTCTAGATATTAAACGTCTGCGACTATCAACACAATGTGGACTGCAGAGGTACAGCCACGCCGAAACCACTGCATCCTACGCAACCACAGCCGACTCAACCTCCACAGCCGTCTTCTACTTATGTTCCTACCAAGCCGCCTACATATCCTTCTAAACCACCAACTAATCCTCCACAACCTCCGACTTATCAACCTCAACCACCAACTTATCAGCCTCAACCACCGACTTATCAGCCTCAACCACCGACTCATCCGCCTCAATCATCGACTCATTCACCTCAACCATCGACTCATCCGTCTCAACCACCAACCTATCAGCCTCAACCACCAATTTATCAACCTCAACCACCGTCTTACCAGCCTCAACCACCGACTTATTCTCCACAGCCTCCAACTTATGCGCCACAACCACCAAATCCCCCTAAACCACCGACTTATCAGCCGCAGCCTTACCCGCCACTGCCCTCTGCATACTCCGCGAATCCTTGGTTGAAGGTCAAGACTGATTCTTGGCAAGATCTGGGGACTCAGCTGGAGATTGACAAGGAGATAGAGAAACAAGAATCAGCTGACAGTCCAGCGTTGGATAATCAGTCTACGCATAACGCGATAGAAACGTCCACTCTGACGAATCCGTGGACTCTCCATCAAGTGATACCACCCGAGCTAATGATAACTCCGTGTAATAACGGCGACGTGCACAAACTCAATGACGCCTGCACCAGCGTAATAGTTTGCAAGAATAACAAACCTCAGGTAGTAGCGTGTTCAAAGGGATTCACATATGACAAACCATCGGACTCCTGCAAGCCTTTCAGCATTGCAAAGTGGTAAGACTCTTTTTTCAATGTACATTTAAATTTGTAAATTTGTAAATTTTAACATTGTAATTGTAATCTGTTTTATATTTTTAATACACTCGAATTTATTCGAAAAAAATATAATACATATTGGTACAATAGAGCAATGGTTTAACTGATGTTTTTTTTCTTTTTCTAGCTAATCAAAGGGCACAATTCACAACTCACGCTTTACACTAAGGACGCGCATCGATCAAACTTAAACATCTTTATTAAATCATCATGTGTTAATTATCTCATATTTACCTATGCGATAATAGACAATTAAAATTTTAAATAATAGTTAAAAAATTACTAGTAAGCAAATTTGAAAACAATTTCTCGAAGATAAGGGCTTAAGATGAAATGAATGAGCAAGCAAGTAGAGATATAAGTCATTAACGATGTTTAGTATTCTACTTTGCAAGTTTGTATTCCTTAATGTATTATCCGAAAAAGCGAAAGTTTTCGAATTTGTAAATAAATATAAGCTAAACCTTTCATCTTTTCTATATATCTTTTATATTTTTATTTTAACTTTTCCGCAGTTTAATTCACAGAATTAGGTAAAACTAAATAAAACTAAATAAAAATCTCTAAATCTCTAAATCTAAGATCTCTAAATTAATCTTAATAGAAATTTCAGTTTGAGTAATTTTATTAAGAAATAGCGGAAATATATATTATTTTTATAAGAAATTTCTATCGACGGTAAAAGATTCCCAGATTCATGCAACCCAAATGCTTTATGTCGAAGTCACCAGATTGCAGCACGCGTTCTCCACGTTCTCCAAAGGACGAGAAGAGTGGAGCCGCGAAAGGTGGCGAACGAGAAGGAGGTCGGAGGGATGTGTTAATGATCGGAGTGGAGATCACTCCGCGGGGAATTGGAGCGTGATTGACTCACAGAGAAATGTATCATCACGGAATACAGATAGTTGATCTCGCGGCGGCGTCGAAATAGTCGACGAGCTCCTACTGCTCGATATAACTGCTCGGCACGTAATTGGAACACCAAGTATTTTTTTTACGTCTCTAGAGAGCGTGCACTAACACGTGCCTTCTTCTCCGATTTTCTCGAATGATCCTTTCATTTCTTGGCTAAACGATCTTTTACTCCGCTTACCGAATTTATTGGATCGTAACCGTATTCCGCGTTTAACGCGGACAAGTGACTTGTCCTAATTTTCAATATGACAAACCAAATGTGATAAATTCAATGTCATTTCGTATTTTATGTGCATTTTATAATTATTACTAAGGATAAAATAAAAATTAAAAAAAAATCAATCTGATTTGAACTTATGAATATTCATATATTCATATATAATCTAGATTATTTCAATCTAGATTATTTGAGCTTATCCAAGCATTAAAATCTCCAACATTGACACATTTGACGTTGAAAAATTCGCGGTATAATAAAATAGATATAATAAAAATATTTTATACATTTTATAGATTTGTACAAAAACGTATAACTCGTTTAACATAAAAATTCTTCTCAAAACTTTAAAAATTTAAAGTCAAGTATTTTAACAAGCAGCATTTTCAACGTCAAAAATTGTAACGTCGAAGACTTGAATGAGAGGAAAGACGCAAGCTCGGAATAATATAATAAAACATCGCAAATATGATACATCCTTTTTTATCAATTATACGATATTTATATTTTCCGTTATTTAATAATATTTAATAAAATTATATTATATATATCATATTACAACTTAATAATATATAGCAATCGACAATCCTCAAGGCGACATCTTTTTATTGTATAACGAAGAATTTCTCTTTTCTCCCTTTCGCTTTTTTCGTTTCGACGACGCATTGTTGAGAGACAAGGAACCCAACCGCAACGACCTTTTTAAGGCTTTTCCTCGTAATCGGAATTTCGCGCTTGATCGCATATGCAAAAAATCAACAAGGAAAAATCTATTGTCAAGACAAGACACAGATATCAAATTAAAAGAAGGAAAAAAGAGTCATATGATATGATATTTTTCAAACGTTCGTGTAGGTATCACATATGTATATTTAATAGATTACAATTTTGAAGTGGGGTACTGGTTACTGTATAACAATTATATAAACAAATAACTGTATAATCACGTAACGATGTTGTATAACAGTCACGCCGTAGAGTTGTAATATAATGATCATGTAACAGTCGCAAAATTATATAGCAATAATGTAAATATGTAAATAATAACCGCCGGATTTTTTTGTCTCGTCAACGTTTCTATCTTATAAAATAGCCCGCAAGTTGACAAAAATGACGAGAAATGTCTAGTAATTTTATCGTTCAATGAAAATATATTGATATTTTCTCTTTCCTTTTAGCAAAGAAAGTGTTTAGATCAAGCCGGATATTTTGACAAACAAAAGTCGAGAAATCATTTAGAAACGGAGAATCGGCTATCGAAAGTAGCGAACGAGGAGACGCCTCTCGTACATTTCACTCGGACTCAGTGGCGCAAAACTTGATAATTACGTAATAATACGCGACGTTACGTCGAATATAAAGTAGCAAAAGGTCTCGGTAAAATGTGAAAAACGTGGCTGAGTGGGAAGTTATCGAATATGCGAACACCGAAAATATGATTAATTAAAATGCATTACGGCTCGAAAACAAAAATCTTTAATCGCGATAAAACTATCTCTGATTGAATAACAAAAATAACTGTCAACAATATCTTAAAGAAATAAAGTATAAAAAAATAACTATTTTCTATTTCTAACTTTCTTATTATAATTTAAATTAATATATATCAAAGATTATTATTGTTTATAAATAACTCAAAAATTATTTTTTAAAAATAAAATTAAAGACATCTTTTCGATGACCAGAATATGCTGTTATCATTCGAAATTTTTTAATTAAAGTTAAATTTTAAATTTTTAAATGATGATGACTAAAAGATAACACTTTCTCGCTGCTTTCTTATTGCTTTTCTACTGCCACACCCGACTATTGACTTCTGTAGTGAAGTTTGAAGAAATGCCCGAGATCAAATCTGATTGATATAAAGAAAACAAACACTTATAATTGAATATATCTGAAGTGTAACATACTGCTTACATATTTTTATCTTCATCTCTCTCATCTGATGTCTTTATATTTATTTATCAGTACACAATTGAGAATTGAAACAGAAATAGAACAAACAAAATTAAGATTGAACGGCCGATCGTTCGCTGGAGGCATGCAAAATGATTGGCGGCTGGAGAGTAAGGGGTAAGAGAGATAATCACATAATTTCTCGTGTTACGGAAGGCTCGAGGTCGAGAAAGGAAGGCATTTGCAAGTTGGTCGCACGACCACGGCGGCCTCGACCTTTCCGGAAAAGCTTGGAAATTGCAGTCAACGAGCCCTGCGATTAGGCACGCGTGAAAGATCAACGATGTATTCCAGCCGCTCGAGCCTATTTCACATATCGTGCAACACGTATCAATCGCTAAATACTACGTAGACGGCTTACCTCTCTTTTTTTTTTTTTGATACAAAATGAGAACTTGCATAGATTTGTGAAACAGTAAACAACTAATCTGGCATTTCTAATAAATCTAATATAATAATAAAAAGAAATAATGATATCAGAAGCATTTTCAGAAGTTGTGAACATTATAACGACACAAATGAAATTTTATTATTATTATTATTATTACTATTAGAAAACCAATTAACTAATTATTTATTGATTTAAAAATTATGATGTATAATAAAGAAACTTTACAAAAATTTAATTAATTGTTGTATCTTTACATCTTGATGATAACCGATAGAGAGATTTAAAAATAACGCCCTAGGGGGGCGGATTGATGGACCTGTGAGAAAATCAACGTGCCTCATTACGAAATTTCTATCGCGAGGGGAATCGCCTTTCTCTCACCTTAATGACTGTCAAAGGACAACGTCCTTTGCGACTGAGCGAGGCGACGCATCGTTAAATGTTAACGCCGCTCGCAAATTGTTCGAAACAGCGAGATAAAAGCACGTAATTTTACAAAGGATGCTCTCCTTTTGAAATATTACCAAGCACGCTGATCTGCAAATAATTTCAGCGAAAGGTCTTGTTGACCTTTCCGCATGAATTTTTCGAGTTCGTATCAATAGTCGCGACTCGAGAGTTAGCAGCGCATTCCGCAAGCGGGGAATTTATTCTATTTATCGTCGTGATCGGAGCAATAAATAGAACATTATGCAAGTTCCCGTTAAGCAGGTAGTACACAACGTCGACGAAAAATCACATTACATCGCCGTAATGCCGGGCGCGTAACGTAATAAGACCTGCTGTACAAAATTCACGCGTGAAACGTGGTCGACGAAAAATGTCGTTACGTCACCGCGTCATATGCAAATGAGACTTGCTGTCTTTCAAAGAATGTTAAAAGGTTGTTCAGGTTTAAATAACGGAATTCGAGTCACACCTAGTTATCATACAATCAAATTATCACGTACAAGTAAAGCCTACTACTTGTCGCGTCTACGTAAGTGACACAAGATTGACACAAGCGACTCGAGTCGCGGGCTCGGGTTTCAAGTGAAACCTACAATTCAACGAATGTCATATAAATGTGATGCCAAATTGGATCTTTTTTTTTCATATTGATTTAATCTTTTTTTTTAAAGTCAAATTTGACACATATTAAAAAAGTATATAAAAGAATACAAACGAGATAACGCTTTGAAAAAGAGGAAAGCAAGAAGAGTAGATATCTTAAAGAACAATATGACAGAACAAGTCGCTATCTATAGGCTGCATTCAGAAATCGTTACATGAATATAATAGTAAAGTGGTTACATATATGCAACGATATGCTTGCGTGTGCAAAAAAAACGCAACAAGTGTCATATATCAGCGTCGGCCATCGCAAACAGTTAAGACACGTTGAAAAATAACTAAACGTCAAATATGCCTCTCGTGAATCAATTGTTACGTTATCACAATCTCTCGTTACTACTTCAACACGGCGATCCGGAGGAGGCATTCCCGCGGCCTACGTTTCGCCATTGCGTTCCGCGATTTTTTTCGCGCCGGCAGGGAAGGTCCCCTAGGTGTGACTCGAATTCTTTGACCTGCCTCTTTCCGTCTTCGTCTCTCTCGTTGTCACTTTCTCCGCGGGTCGATTATATCCGAGAGATGAGGAATGCCCATTATTCCTATTGCGATATACTTGGGTGTACATCATCTCATAAACGTCGTGATCTGCGGGCTTCGAAAGAGCGAAAGAGCGAAGTGCAAAAGGCGACAAATGCACTCTCGCAAAAGATGCTTGGCTCAAGGCACAGTTATTGAATAGAATAGCATACCGCGTTTTAAACTGACTATTACGAGCCAACGTCCGCTTCGCAGGAATCATAATAATAAATTCTTATTACTTCTTTTTCGCATATTGATTTTAAAGGTAATCCTGAAAAGCCACTCATCAG